ATGTATACCTTTGCCGACTAAATATTTAGTCGCCAATAGGTTGGAAAATTAATTAAATAATACATTTTTGCCAACCAATTTTTTTGTCGCCAAAAGCCAATTATTTAGTCGCCGAAAAATTTTTAGCTACTAAATTTTTTAGTCGCCTAAAGCAAACACTAGTGTTTTGGCTACTAAAATTTTAGTCGCTTAAAGTCAATCTTTTTTAGCTACTAAAATTTTAGTCGCCAAATATTATTTCTTTTGGCTACTAAAAATTTAGTCGCCTAAACTTCCACATTTTTTACTACTAAAAATTTAGTCGCCTAAACTCAGACATTTTTGGCTACTAAATTTTTAGTCGCCAAAAATATTTTTATTCTTCAACTTTGGTTTTTAGCTACTAAATATTTTAGTCGCCAAATGTTTGCTTTCACTACAAGAAAAAACACCTTTAGTGACCACCTATTTTTAGTTGGTCACAAAAAGTTTGGTAATCTGCCACCAAAATTTATTTTGGTCACGGATGATGGTGTTTTAGTGACCAACATTTTTTTGGTGGCTAATAGTTAAGTATTTGTGACCAAATACAAAATGTGGTCGCCAAAAGTGATGGCGGGAGCGCGAAATAAAAAGGGCGGGACATCAATCTTTTGGCTACCACTAGATTTTGGTCACAAAAAGAAAAAATGATACACACTACGTCGTTTTGAAATTCTTAAATAAAAAATATGTTTCTGAGCCTTGATCTTCCCTCATTGTTGCCCTCTTCCTTCCCTCATTGTTGCCCTCTTCCTTAATAAAAAAAAGTTTCCTGTTTCCTTGAGCTTCCGATCGGTTCATCAAACCCTACCCACCATCTCCTCACTTCGTCCCCTGGGTTTGCCGCTCTTCATCTTCGCCTCCACCTTGTACTTACCAGGTTAGTGTCTCTCTCTCTCTCTCTCTCTCTCTCTGTTCGTGTATATATATATATATATATAATCGATTCTTTTTCATTGTTGCAACTCCTCACTTCCGATCTGTTCATGTCTATATCTATGTCTATGTCTATATCTATATCTCTGTTATTTGAGTTTCATATATACTTTCTGATTTTTTTTAATCTCTATCATTTGATTTTCATACATAGAATTTCTGATTGATTTGTAATCGATCTGTGCTTCTCTCTCATTTTTCTTTGATTTTCATACTTTCTTTTTTTTTCTGAAAATTTTCTCCTTTGTTTGTTATTTTTTTCTTTTTTCTTTTTGAAACAATTTTAATTTTTGAGTTAATTACACTTTTCACCTTCTAGTTTGATCTAAATTTTACTTTAGTTCCTATAATTTCAATTTGAACAATTTGGTCTTTATATTTTAAATTTAGCTTCAATTTGGTCCTTTTGTCTTAATTGGAGGTTTTAACAATTTTAGAATACTTGTCAACTTTTTAATGTTTCAATTTGGTTGTTCCATCTAAATTAGATGTTAAAATTAATAAATTTGAGACCCTTGCTAATTTTTTATTTTTTCAATTTGACTCTTCTCTTCCATCTAAATTGAAAGTTAAAATTAATAATTTTGGGACACTTGTTAATTTTCTTAGGTGTATACGTAGACAAAATTAACAAAAATTTAGATAGGAGAACCGAACTAGACTTAAATTATAGAGAACAAATTATTCAAATTAAAACAATAGAGGAGACTAAAGTAAAATTTGGGTAAAACTGCAGCGTAAAAAGTGTAATTAACCCTTAATTTTTTAGAAAGGATAAAGAATTTATTTGACGAATTATTTTTAAAAAACACCTATGATATTCATTTTTTAAGAAGCACAAAAAAGTTAGGAAAGCAAATTTTGTACAAAAATAAAAATGATAAGAAAATAATAGAGTTTTTTGAAATTATTTTTGTTATTTTTTTTATTCCAAAAATATGAAAAACAAAAACAAAATAAACGAAAACACTGCCAAACAAACTCGAATTATTGGTGGGAATTTTCCCTTACTCTATATGTCTTAACACCTGCTACCAGATGGGGCAGTGGTCGATTATACCTAAAAGTGGTTATAATCAATAACTTAGATAATTAGTTTAAATCCAACTGTTGAAAATAGAGAGGTGTGAACCATTTGATCATAAGTCTGTAATCAATATTTTTATAGAAAACACCCAAATAAATAGTATTTAATTTTGATTTGACAATTTACTATAAACTCGTTCTAAACTCGACTTGTTACCTATTCTTTCTTTCCAGCTAATTGAGAACTTTGCATTCTATAAGATGTGACTTACATTTCAAAAACAAGTGATAAGGATTGCCTCCACAATCAATTGTAGGTTGTGTGGATCATGAATTTTTTATAGAAATTTAAAAATATAGAGAAAAAATTTCGCTTATATTTTATTTATATTTTCTCACGTTTTTTTTTTCCTCTCCCAAATTTTTACTCAAATTTATAATTCAAACACAATTATTATTATTATTATTTTAATCTTGATCTTGGAACTGTAGGGAGCTAGCTGTGTGCATGGGAATTCTAGGTAAGGATATGGAGTATGGACAATGACATTTCGTTGTAAACATATGGGAATTTTAGGTGAGTATAATTGACAATTAAGAGTATGGAGGGACAGATAAGTCATTTTATAAGTGCTCAAAATGCTGTGTTGCATTCATATTAAAGGAAGTCTCAAACAATTATTTCACTATATACATATAGGAATTTTAGGCGAGGATGTGAACAATGACATTTTATTATAACCGATGATCAAGAGTTACTCTAGGGACATATTAGTCTTATTTATAGAAGTCCACTGAATACAGTGTTGCATTCATACTGGAGTAGTGATCAATCTTTGAAAAAAAGTACTACCCAAGTAGTGCTTGTGACAAATTCCAAAGATTTTCCCTGAACCCAAACATGTGCAAGTGAATTTAAAAAAAGAAAAAAGAAAAGAAAAAAAAGTAGATGAATAGAGAAGGAGAAGATTACAGTGTCTATCAAGAACCTAAGTATAGTGTTTGTGAGAAATTCCAAATATTTTCCTTGAACCCAAACACATGCAGGTGTTCTCAGGAAAATATTAAAGATATATGTGATGAGATATCTTCACCTGTATAAGATTTTATTTTATTTTATTTTGTTTTGGGTGGGAAGTTTAGAAAAACCATCATCTCTAGTTGAACAAACAAACACTAGGAGAAACTGAAAGAAATATAGTACCCCATGGTAGTTAGGCCAATGAATCTATAGTAGGAAATCAAAGTCAAAAACTTGAAAAAGCTTATCTCACTTACCTAATTGTTGTTATTAATTTGATTTCCACCAAACATCATATATCATCATTTAATCCGCTCATCAAAATGCAACATTAATCTTTTAACAATTTAATAATTAGATGTTTTTAATTTATTTAACTTATTCTTACCTCCTATGTTGTAAAAAAAAAATTATCACTTCGATAATTTCTTTAAAAAAAAAAAGAAGCAAATAATCCTATAAATTGTACACAACAAATAATTTATTTGACAAGTCTATAAGATGAAGATATGGTTCATTCAATATATCTGTACACTTTATTAAAAAGCATTCCCACCATTCCTTTCTTATGTATATATTGGATATTCTCTTTTCTCTCTCCCTATTGGATATCCATAGTGTTGGTCCTAGGTGATCCTTTTTGCACTACAAAAGTGTTTTAAGATGTTTCTGTTTTAAAATGTTTTAAACAAATATTTTAGTTTGGTATTTGATTTATTAGACTGATTAATTTAAAGAATCAAGTTCATGGATCCCATTTGTGTGGATCTCTTTTCTATTGGCAACTATTTCCCATTGGGCAATGGCGAAATCTTCAATAACTAGATCGTGGGTGTTGGTTAACTTGATTGATGATTGCCTATCAACCACCAATTTAATATTAAAAATAAAAAATGAGATAGAAACCGATCTTGTCTTCCATTCTGTTTGTTTTCTTGCAATATATATATATATATTTTGGGAAATAACAATTCAGGATATATTTTGAACGTTAATTACAAATCTGTCAAATCTATGATGCAGATGAGCATTCATTACGACTTTAATTGTATTAGGTGGTGATGCAGATGATGGAATGATGATGCCCTTAAAATTTTAATCTGTAAAATATTTTTTCTTTTTTTAAAGTAGAAAATATTATTTTTTCAGTTAATATAATTTGGTTCTTTGTGCTGTAGCAGCAGCTTCATGCTGCAGCAGCAACTTCTTGTTGGTTCTTAATATTTTTTTTCTTCTTTTCTTGGCAGTAGCAGTAGTGTTCAATATTATGCTTATTGAATACTAAAACAACCATAATGGAATCAATAACTATTATAGTTGAATAATATAGGAAGGAATGTGAGATTTGATGCTTGCCTAAAGCGTATAAATAACTTTTTCACCTTATAACAAAATTAACCTCCAAAATAGGAATAAAATTCATTTTTAGTTAATTGGTTTTTGCTTTATTCACCTAACATAATCTTCACTTTGTAGGTCACCAAATATGGACAAGAGTTGGATGTCAATTAGGAATAGATTGAGTTCGGAGTATAGAGAAGGGGTTAAGTCATTTCTCCAATTTGCAATGACAAATGTTGGCGTATATAATAGAATTCGTTGTCCGTGTATGGATTGCCTAAATTTTGAACATCATACCTTTAAGGATGTGGAATATCATTTGATCCGAAAAGGGATATCACTTTCATACAGGACTTGGGTGCACCATGGGGAAACTGTTTCTGTCAATCAACCTCGTGTGTGGAATAATGACAATGACATTGAAGGTGTTGGTGATGAAGGGACAACCAATGAATGCCTTCACGTTGAAGATGAATTGTATGATATGTTAGATGACTGTCACATGGCGCATATTTTTGATGATGATGAAGAGGGTGAGCAGAATGATAATGAGTAAAGAGAAGATGGACGAAACTTTGATAAATTGTTAGAGGATGCTCGTCGTCCATTATACCTTGGCTGTCAGAAGTTTACTTTGTTATCATTTGTCGTTAAGATGCTTCATATAAAAGTTTTAAACAAGTGGACCAATAAGTCTTTTGACATGTTGTTAGGTGTATTGAAAGACCTTTTACCAGAAAGTGATCAAAAGGTTCCATGGACCCTTTATGAAGCGAAGAAATTTTTACGTGATTTGGGTTTAGGATATGTGCCTATTCATGCATGTAAGTATGATTGTGCTCTTTTTTGGAAGGAAAATGCAAATTTAGAAAATTGTTCGATTTGTAAGGAGCCTAGATACAAAATGAATGATGGCAAAGGTAAGAAGATACCTCATAAAATTTTGAGATATTTTCCGTTGACACCAAGGTTGCAAAGATTATACATGTCGAGAAAAAACAGCTGGAGATATGCGATGGCATAAAGAAAAACGTGTTGATGATGGCATCTTAAGGCATCCAGCCGATGGTGAGGCGTGGAAGGATTTTGATAGGCAACATGCTGTGTTTGCCCAAGAACCACGTAATGTGAGGTTAGGGTTGGCCACCGATGGTTTCAACCCTTTTGGAAATTTGAGCAACTCATATAGTATGTGGCCTGTGGTAGTTATGCCTTATAACCTACCACCGTGGAAGTGTATGAAGCAACCATTTTCCATGATGTCATTGCTTATTCCTGGACCGCAAGCACCCGGGAGAGATATTGATGTTTACTTTAGGCCATTAATTGACGAGTTGAAGGAGTTATGGGAAGATGGTGTAGTTACTTATGATGCCTCAACTGGGGCAAGTTTCCGAATGCATGCAACTGTTATGTGGACTATTAATGACTTCCCTGCATATGGTAACTTGTCAGGGTGGAGTACAAAAGGATATTTGGCTTGTCCCAATTGTAATGAGAATGCATCATCACAACGGTTAAGAAGTAAGATAGGATACACTGGTGCTCGCCGATACTTACCTGAAGACCATCCTTGGCGAAGAAGTAAGCTGTTTAATGGTAAGGCAGATGATCGAGCAAGACCTTCGGAGTTGTCAGGGGAACAAATTTTAAATCAATTGGATTTAGGAACATTTAAACCATTTGGGAAGCATCCAAGCAACCAAAAAAGAAAAAGGGATGAAAATACCGTCCTGAATTGGACAAAGAAAAGCATATTTTTCGAATTGCCTTACTGGAAGACACTCAAGTTACGACATAACCTCGATGTTATGCACATAGAGAAGAACATATGTGATAATTTAATTGGGACTTTGTTGAGCATTGATGGAAAGAACAAGGATACGGAAAAAGCACGCATGGATTTAGAGGATATGAAAATTAGGAAGGATTTGCACTTAAAGAGGCGCGCGGATGGGTCCTTTGGAAAGCCCATTGCATTGTTCACATTGTCCCTAAAGGAAAGACAAGGTTTTTGTGATTTCTTAAAATCGATTAGGTATCCTGATGGGTATGCAGCAAACATCTCTATGTGTGTGAGCACAAAGGGCGGCAAGTTATCCGGTTCGAAAAGCCGTGATTGCCATGTCCTTATACAACGACTTCTTCCTATTGGAATGCGTGGGTATCTTAACAAGGACATTTCTATTGCATTGTTTGAGTTGGGAAATTACTTTCAACAGTTATGTTCAAAAACAGTGAGGGTGAATGATTTGAAAAAATTACAAGAGAGCATAGTACTCATACTTTGCAAGCTAGAAAAAAATTTTCCACTTGCATTCTTTGATGTGATGGTTCACTTAGCTATTCACTTGCCTCGCGAAGCCATTCTTGGAGGGCCAGTGCAATATCGATGGATGTACCATATCAAAAAGTATTTTTATGCTCTTTGATGTGAAATTATATTTTTTTTAATATTATAGTATACCCATATATATGGTTTATATAATAATTTCCTATTATTTGTTGAAGATTACTTGGGATTTTGAAAGGGTATGTAGCAAATCGAGCTCACCCAGAAGGTTCAATTGCAGAAGCTTATATTGTCAAAGAATGCCTAACTTTTTGCTCTATGTATCTTGGTGGGATTGAAACCGTATTTAACAGAGAGGAAAGAAATGAAGATGGTGGTGATGTTGGCTCAAGGCATTCAGTTTTTTCACAAAAAGTCCGTACTTTTGGGCTCACTCAAAGGACAGTTGACGTGTCTGAGAATGAAAGAAAAGTGGCTCATTGGTTTATCTTGTATAATAGTCTTGAAATTGATGAATATCTAGAGTATGTTCTCATCTAGTTAAGTCTATGCAAAATGCTTTTCATTATGATCACACTCAAGTACTAATTATTCACATTTGATTTTTCAAGTAGAGAACACAAGAATCAGTTACAAAATGCAAATGTACAGGACATTACAAGACAACAACAAGAAGAATTTCCTAGGTGGTTCAAAGAGCGGGTAATATATAAGATACATAGATAATATGTAACATCTCATCATAAACACAATTCACTGTTCGTAGATTGATATTAACATCATGCATCCTTGTCACATGTTCATGTAGATAAATCAATTACGAGCTGAAGGATCATCGGAAGCAACTGATGAGTTGTGGTCATTAGCTAATGGTCCTAGTCCAATAGTGAATATTTATTCAGGTTGTATTTGTAATGGCATTCGATTCCACACGAAAGAGCGAGACAACCGTCGTAAAAGTCAAAATAGTGGGTTGGTTGTTCAAGGGGATCATCATGGTATGTCAATTGATTTCTATGGTCAGTTGAATAAAGTTTGGGAAATGACATACATGTTCGGGCATCGAGTTGTGTTATTTCAATGCGAATGGTTTAACACTGGTAGCAACAGAACATTTCGCACTGAAACACATTTGACAACCATTGATGTAAGAAGCCGTTGGTATCAAAATGACCCATTTGTCTTGCCAAGTCAGGTGCAACAAGTTTTTTATGTCAATGATACCAAATTAGGTGAACATTGGAAAGTCGTAGAGCGATTTCAACGTCGAGGAATATGGAATGTGCCGGAGCTTGAGGATGTAGATCCCGATGATAATGAATTGCCTATTCCGAATGATGTGTTCCAGCAGGACGAGACCACTGAAATTGTCCAAATCAGCATTGCAGATTCCATTAGCAACACTTTACGTAGGACTGATATTGCACATGATATTATTCCAAGTGAAGTGGTTCTGCAATCTGGTACAAGTGTACATGTAGAGGGTCCAAACAGAGATGATTTTATCTGTGATGATAATGATCAACATTCAAATGATCCTAGTGATGATAAAGATGAATTTCATAGTCATAGTAACTCGGATACAGATGATGATATAGAGCCTTGATTGTAATATCCTTTATTTTTTGCATTATCAAGTCATTTTCATTGTAATGCTCTTGATTGTAATGGCATGCACTTGTTAATGAAGACATGTTTAGTTACAACAAGTCTGGAATGTTGTACCTATTGCTTCATTGTGGTCCATTTGGAAACATCAGAATCTGTCTGAATCTGTTTGAAGCTGTGTTTGTTCTACTGTCTCCTCTGTGTGCTGCTGCTGAAGTGCTCTATGTTTTTTTTTTCTCTTCTGTTTGGTGATGCTGCTGAATCTGTCTGAATCTGTCTGAATCTGTGTATTAATCTGAATCTGCTGAATCTGTTTTGAATCTGCTGGTTTAATGCTGAAATGCGGCTGCTGCTTGAATCTGCTGCTTGAATCTGGTTTAATGCTGAATCTGTCTGAATCTGTGTATTAATCTGAATCTGCTGAATTTGTTTGGTTTTAATAGCTATGCTCCTGATGTATTTGTGTTCATTATATATAATCTTATTTTGTTTGTTGATAAAAAAAATGAAGACATGTTTAGTGATGATTCAAATTGTAATGAATTTTTTTGTTGATAATTTCTTGACTTGTAATGTGGTTCTAATATTACACTATTAGGTTATCTTATAATTTCATAAATTGTCATGCATTTTAAATTTTTACTTTTGGTTGCTTACAATTCATTTGTTAGATACAAAGACTACACAGATGCCACCTGGGCAAGCCACTAAGAGGAGGTCGACGACCTCAATGTCAGAGGCAAACCTGGTTGAGCTCCCAGCTGCATCTCCTGTGGATGCATTTGCAAGTCTATCTCCTGTGGATGCATCTCCATCTTCGCAAACAGTTGATATTGGTAAGTGTTTCATCCTTTGTATAGAACAATTTGTTTTTTGCTCCTGAAACTGTAATCAATGTTGAGTAGTTACTACATGCTTACTCTTTTTTGAGTGATTATGATTAAAAATTTGTTAGTATTGAAGTATGACTCTGTGAGAGACAATCTGTGAGAGACAATGAAAAAAGAGATCTTTGAAGTCACAAACGGCACCTAAAAGATAAAGTGAGAGACAATTAGTCAATAAAGAGTGCAAGGCATTTATTGTTTAGTAATCCAGACAGTGTATCTTCAACTGGTTGTCAGCTGGTGCTGTCCTTTTTGTAAATTAACGAAACTCATTTCAACTATGTGTCATATAATGTATATAGGTTGCTGCTACTGCTGCTATATCATGCACGTGTTGCTAACAGACTGTATTGTTATCATTAGGCAAAATGCAAAAATAAAAAACTGACTACTTACAGATGTATACGTACACATGTAATGACCAACAGGAGTATTAAGATAAGTACAGTTACCTGACCATCAAAGTAAGCAACCAGTATTGTTGATGATCCTGGAGATTGTGCTTCAAGAGCACTTTGATTAAGAACTTCCACAGGATTACTTAAGGGAATACTATTGCACTGTGAGACAATCTTTCGACAATTCTCCATCAGTTCTTGGGCATAAACTCCTGGGTTAATCCCTGAAAAATGAATGAAAAATGACTAACTCATCTAAAATCTTAACCTAACTAAACACAGGAATAAATAAAATATTTATGTTTTCAACATGCTCCCATATATTTGGCCAATCTCTCCACCACTAGTGGACCAAACACATGCATGCATTTTAGTAGTATTATATGAATATTATAAAGAAAATTTTATAATAAAACGATGCTAAGGGGGTACTGCACTGGAAAAGTACAAGATTGGTCTGTCAGTTGTGGTCATTATGAGCTTCAGAGATGAAATTTAACTGAGGTTAACGAAGTCTTAAGCAGTAAAAACTTAAGGTTGAGTTAGTTATCTCAGGAGCTTGCTTCTCATCTTCATTCGATAGAGAGATTACCTTAGGTGAAGGGCAATAAAATGCTTGCTTCTCATCTTCATTCGATGGACCAATTGTTCACCCATGTCAATTATAGGATCAGTGAACTTTAAGGCATGATAGTTAACTCTGCATCTAAGCTTTTGTAAATCTGTGTCCAACCTATTTGAAAGTCTGTAATCAAATTTGTTGAGCTGAACAGCCTTCATAAGAATGAAAACCATAAAGTATTAGTTTTACAATATAGTAAATCATTCAAGGCCAAATCTAGAGGATAAAAACATAACTGTGCAACTCAACAAAACCTTATCCCAAGATTCCCAACTACCAGGGGTTATTGACATGATTTCTGATCTAATGCTTTCATCAGAATTGGACGTAAGTTTCCCCATAGTTGATATTTATGCCATCTAATTAATGTTTTCTAATAGTTGGTCAAAGTGTAGAAGAAACCAAGTTGATTGACAGGATTTTAATTTTCAGCCAGTAGCTCTTTTGCATCTTCTTTTTATGCAGGAAAGGAAGTGACTTTCTCGATGTTAGCTTTCCAAATTTATAGTAGAGTCTGAATTCTTGTTTGAAGGGGTAATATTAATATAAATGGTCATATTTTTTATTTTTATTTTTTTCAATTAGAAAAAAAAGGTATTCTTTGGTAGCATCGTTGCACCCCTTAAGTTTCGGGGTGTAGGTTAGATTTATCCTAACTCATATGAAGAGATTCACAACCGGAATAAAATGAGAATGCATCAACCTCCAACTCAGAAGGTAGAGTCACGCACGGAGCACAACACGATCAGTTTCAACCATAAATGAAAAACGCTAGTTATGCCATTAGAAATCGAGTCTTACTCACTGGTGTAAAAGGCCAACACCTTCCACTCCACCACCACTCCGGTGGTATAAATGGTCATATCTGGAAATAGTATTTTTCACGCAATTAATCCTTGACAAGTTTTTCAAATTAATAGGAGAGTTAGAATATTTTTCTTAGGGGTAATCTTAAGATAAACGGTCATATGCAAGAATAGTATTTTATACTTGTAAAACAAATGTCTATATTTAAAGTTATTATTGTGGGAGCACAGTATAAATAAATCTTAATCTTTGATTACAAATTCTACAAATTCTAGACATTTTTTTTTAGTTTATTTTTTTGGATTCTTAGAATTACTGTTTTTCCTACCCTTATCTTGTAAAGCTTAAGAGAAGAAATATATAGAGAAAAATAAGTATTTGATTCAATCAAACAAATAAACATATTACCAGAATTTGAGCAGTTGCCATTGAGCAAAACCTCTCCCTCCTTCCCTCTGCCCTCTATAAAGTGGTATTGTTGGTTACAATTGAAGTGGTCTTTGGTAATGCTCAAAGCGATATTGGTTACGATCTAATATCATTACGATCAATTACAGTGTTTTTTTTAAGATTCAATTGTAAGTTTCAGCTCCTTTCTCTGTAAGTTTCAGCCTCAATTATTTGTGTGCAAATACAATTGACCCAACTGTGTTGTGTTTCCAAGATCGGCTGGAATTTCCCCTGAAATTCTATTATCAAACTGGCGAAGATCCTCCAATCTTTCGAGTTTGCCAATACCCACTGGAATTTCTCCTGTGATTGAGTTCATGGAGATTACCAACCATGTCAGGACAATTAAATTCTTTATTCCTTCAGGGATGGTTCCTGATATTTGGTTTGCTCCTGCAATCAGCTGTTGAAGAGTAGTTGAAAAATTAGCAATCAAAGTTGGTAATTCACCTTTGAACCTGTTAAGGCCTATGTCCAGTTCCTGGAGGTTACTGCAGTTAGTTAAAGAAGTTAAGAAGCTAAATCTTTCTGCTTCCTTGGGAGGGGAAAAAAATTCACATAGTGAACTACAATTTAGTCAGAGTAGGGTTTTAGCATGACAAAATTTATAAGAATATATTTTTACATGATTCGACAATAAGACTATTTTATTAGATAATTGTTAAAAGAAAATTTCTCTAATATATTTCATTTGATGTACAGCAACAGCAACCTATTTAGCAGCAGCCTATAATAGTGTTTCATTTTGTGTTTATAATATAGGTCCATCTGTAAAGCGAGTACGAGGTCCAACTAGGGGTAAGAACAGTAGTAGACTCATGAGCCAACATGGTGGGAAGAAGCTTTTTGTTGGAGTTTCTATTGAGAGGAGGACATTTGTGGGGCTTAATGCCACCAAGGCCGCTAACGAATTGGGGGCACAAATTTGATTGCAAGCCCCATTGCAAGGAACAAAAAATTGGGAGGACGTTCCACCAGTCATTCGAGCAGCTATTGTACAATCCTTGCGGGTAATTTAATTTTTATAGTTGTTGAGATTGAAGTAATTAATATATAAGATGTTTAATTTTCATTTTATGTTTAATTGGGACAGGATAAGTTTGAGATTGAAGGATATGATGATAGCCCACTTCCACAAGAAATTATTGACACAAAGTCCACACATTTGTTCAAAGGCTGGTGATATCATATGCATGAACATTACAAAGAGTTGGTGAAAGAAGGTACAGATCCTTATAGTAAACCATTTGTTGGGGTGAGCGAAGAAGATTGGAGATACATGATTGATGAAGTGTTTCTTGGTGACACACACAAGGCAATTAACTTAATAGTCATGGATGTTTCTTTTAATTGCACTACAATGAATAACTCAAAGGTCCCAAGTTTCTTTGAAATTCAAATAATATACAATTATATATGAGACAGAGTAAGGAAATTGCATAGATGGAGGGAAAGATATAGGAACCATGCTTGGATATTGATTTTTAAGTTAATATTTCTATTGCATTGTAGAAACGGTCAACAAGAAATATAGCCAACAGGAAAAAGTTACCCTATAATCACACCATGGGTTCAAGGTCATTTTCAGCAGCAATCTCAATTGAGGTAACCTATTTTTTGTTTTAAAACTTATAGTTAATGTTGTAATTTTTTTATTAACAATATTACTAAGCTTGCATTTTATATGTTTCATGTAGGGAATTGAAACGGGAAAGGAGCCTCACATTGTAGATTTTTTCAAGACCTCACATTGGAGGAAAAAAAAAAAAAAAGATTGGATTGAACCAGTTTGTGCGGAGTTATATGTAAGTATACCTTCATTATATTTGTTATTCATAGTCCTATATAATGCTTAACTAGTTAGTGTACTTGTAAAATAGGATAACTGTTGATCCTTTTTTTTTTCTTTTCTTTTCTTTTTTTAACACAAACAGGAAAAAATGGACCAACTTTGTGAGGAATCTTCACAGCCTGGAGCAACCCCGCTAACACAGGAGGAAATTACTGTTCAAGTCCTTGGGAAGCGTTCAGGGTATTTGAGAGGTTTCGGGGTTGGTCCAAAGCCGTCTTCTGCATTTAATTCCACAACTAGATCACAAGCACGTGATGAAGAGGTTAAGGGCCTTAAAGAAGAGGTAGCATCACTGAAAGGGATAATTCAATCATATGAAGGACGCTTTGAGCAGTTTGAACACTTTATGAGACAAATGCAGGGCAATGGTAGTGGATACGACTCTTTTGATGAGTAAGTACTATTGCTTTTGATGGTTTGTGAATACTTCTGGGATTTGCTTCAATTTATCAGCTCATAGATCTGATTTTGACAGTTGATCTATGACTGTCGTGTTGGCATCCATTCATATGATGGTCTAATATTGATTTGATTGGTTTCATAGGTTAATTTCATTCGGATTTAGGTACATAGTTGGATGGTTGAGGGACATAGGTTGAGGTGCCTTATTTTCAGTACATGACTTGGTATTAAATTATTGGATTTAGGTACATAGTTACATTTCTATGACTGTTTTGTTAGCTTGTTTGGTTTAAGAGGCTTTATCTTGTTAAAGGCTACTTTATGTAAAGGTAAAGTTAAGAGGTACTATGTGTATAAAGGAGTAGGTGGTGTTTGCAGATGATGGTGTGTTTTTCTAATATTAGTTAATTGGTTTGTGTTGCTTTGGATTGCTGGTTGTTTGTTTTTTTTTTCTCTGTTGGTTTCTCACCAACTATTGAAGCTTGTTCTGGGGAAAAACATGGCTGAGAATCCTGAATGTCCACACACAAATAAATAAATACATTGTATCTCTCCTGAAAATTTGAGAAATTATAATTTACTCTCAATGTTTGGCAAAATTACACTATGTTTTCATAATATTTTGATTCATATTACAGTTGTCCCCACAATGTTGACTTAACAGAATATTCTACATACAATCTATACATGGATAATAATTCTATTTACATAGTTAGGGGTTGAACTAGTGATGGAGGAGATAATACACGAACTGTAAGGATGGTAATAATGTGGTGGTGTTGTGGTTTTTTTTTTTATTTAGAAATGTAAACAAATATATTATTATTAACAACGCTTTCTTCAATTTTTATTTTTTTTTTTTATTATTTTTTTTTTATTGCAGGTAGCTAGCTAGCTAGCTAGAGGCGTAGTCATGCATGTTTATGGATCTGAGTTTGCCGATGCATTAATTCTAAGTTGTGCATATACATATGTGGAGTTTTTGAGATACTTCGCATCGGACAAATATGACATGCATTTGAAATCTTTGATGTTTTGTTAAATATTTTTTGATGTGGTGAATTTATTGTAAGGATGGATGGTTATTTTGGACGTGTAATGTGTTGATATTGACAGGTGGTTGTAAATATATTAATTATTATTTTGACTTTATAATTGATGGTTTTTTTTTTATTTATTTTAGATTGGATTGGTATATTAAAATTGATTGGATGGACATGAATTATGTATTAATTGCAAATGTATTATAGGTATTACAAAAAATTTAGCATTATATTTAAAAGAATCAATTTTGAAATTAAAAGTCTTTTTGCGACCAATATGTTTTTAGTCGCAATAAAGTTCTAGGAATTGCCCTTTCTGTGACCAACAACATTCTGGTCGCCAAAACTTTTCGCGACTAACATCTTCGTCGCCAATATTCAATTTCTGCGACTAGAATTATTCTGGTCGCCAAAAGTCCACTTTTCGCGACCAAGAACTTCGTCGCCAATGCTCAATTTTTTGCGACTAGAATTATGCTGGTAGCCAAAAGTCCACTTTCTGCGACCAATATTTTCGTCGCAAATGGTTATCTTTCAGCGACCAAAATAGATGGTCGCTAAAAGATAACTTTTAGCGACTAAATTCTTAGTCGCAATAGGATCAATTTTGACAAATTCAAGCCCCTTCCGCGACCAAAGAATGTTGTTGCAAATGATGATTTTCCGCAACCAACTTCACTTTTGGTCTCCAAAAACCTTCTGTGACGGACTTTTGGCGACCAAATTGCGACCAACGTTTTTTGGTCGCTAAAAACTATTAGCGACCAGATTTGACCTTTCTGCGACTAGAAATGTTGGTCACGAAAAGTGTTTTTTCCTGTAGTGTTTTCTTTTGGATACAAAACTTTTAGTAGCCAAAGGTTTGATTTTCATTTGGCTACAAAAGATTTAGTAGCCAAATGGGTGTTTTTCTTTTGCCTACAAAAAATTTAGTAGCCAAATGTTTGATTTTCTTTTAGCTACAAAACTTTTAGTAGCCAAATGTTTGTTTTTTTTTCCCCCCCTTTTTATTGGCTACAAAACATTTAGTCAGCAAAAACATGATATTATGTTTTATTACAAATATTATAATGTGTCCATAACTTGTCTGTATTCCATACAACCTGTAATACGTATATAAATAAAATGATACATAAACTATCAATCATTCCACAATCTACATCCGTATACAAAAAATAAATTACTTTAACTGCCCAAGTACATACAAACGAACTATTGTCCAAACTAAAATAATAATTCCATACAACATATACAATCATACAAAAAGTAAAACCCTCCATATACAAAAATTACATTTACTATACCATGTGAAATGACCATTTGGCATGGTACAAATTACCATCGTAATCTGTACCACGACAAAAGGTGATGTATGTACCAAGCCAAAAATACATATATGTATCACGACAAAAAATCATATATCTGTACGGCATCAAAAGGTAATCTATCTACCATGCCAATAATTATCTGTTCGCTACCAAAAGTTTTTTGTATCAGGAATAGTTAACTGCACAAAAGCCAGAGATGACAAAAGTATTATATTACTTCTATACAAAAGTACAATTTCTTCTCCATACACCAAAATATCTCTGCAAGTCCACGCAACGAAGTCATCTACAAAAAACAAAAAAAAACATTAGAATTGGACCAAAAAATGCCCAACTTTATGAATGAATTTGGGAACAAGTGACAAATAAAAATAAGTGACAAGCAACCTTCCATGATGAATCAATTATCAGTCTGTAGACACCCCATTTTTGACCGACCTTAAGACTCAAACATCATCGATTGAGCGCTTAGTGATTGCGCATGTTGTGCTCATTTCGAGTTTCCGGAGTTTTGGCTGAGAGCCTTGCTTCCGGGCCTCTGAACTCTTTGTGCTTTGGCTCGGTTTGTGGACCGAATCTTGTTTTCTATTCCCGGAGGAAGGGAGAGGCCTGGTAGACCATCTCTTTGTGGTCGTAGACCACTTTTTGTGGTCGTAGGCCACTTTTCCCGTTTGGAGGCTAGTTTTCAGTTTTTGGAGTCTTCGGTCGCGCGCCTTGTTTTGGGACCGCTTAACGTTTTTCGTTTGGCGTGGTTTTTGAACCACACCTTGTTGCCTCTGCCTAGAGGAACAATGTGGTCCGGGAGATCAATTTTGTGGTCCTATACCACTTTTGGTGCTTGTCAGCTAGTTTTTTAGGCTCCCGGCTGCGCGTTTTGCCTCCCGAACTTTCGTCTTGCATCCGTTTTGGTTTTTTTTTTGGTACAAACATTGTTTTCCTTGTTTGGAAGGTGGTACAAGGGTGGGAGACCAGTATTTCTCCTTGGAGACCACTTTTCCTCCTGCCAGCCAGTTTTCTGGTCTGACAACTGGTCTCCCTGGTCTTTGGACCATCAAAAGTGGTCGGCCACCACACCATTTTCTTGTTTTCATACTCTGGACTCTCTCCGACCATGGCCAACCAGTTTCATTTTGGGAGACCATTTAAAGTGGTCGGCCGACCACTTTTTGTAGTTGACCGACCACTTTAAGTGGTCGGTTGCTTTTTGGCACCTTTTTGGAGATATTTTCCTCCAGCTGGCATAGTTGGAGGGCATTAGAGTTGTCCTCCATACACATGTATGGAGGGATTGGTTTGAGCCTTAG